TTTTCAACGCTAATTTCTTTCAAATTTTATTGCACAACAGTTAGAGAATCATCATCGTTTCATTACTTTTTGTAGTATCTAAAAGCTGCGATATTGACGATATTTTTCTCCCATGTTTTGCTGAATATGTGTCAAAATATATCCGATATAATGAAATCATAGTTGCACAGGGTATCAGGTAGTTCTAAGAATAACTAATTACAACACAATATGCGCTAATTTCCAGTCTAGACAACATATGTTTTGAAGTTTTTGAATAAAAACTCTTAAATACTGACGTCGAATGGATTATAAAATTATAATTTTTGTTTCAGTGTATTTTGTGTTGATTACACAAATAGTTAATGGTGTAATGCTTGTTTCTTTTTCTTTATACAGGTGAATGTCCAACGTCTAAAGCAATATCTTGGTAAATTAATTTTGTATCCATTGAACAAAGGCAAACCAAAGGCACATGAGACAGCATTGCCACAAGGAACGACAACGATATATCCAACACAAATGAAAACCAAAGTAATGCCAGTTAAAACTAGTTATATACGTGAAAAACCTCGTCCAATTGATGATGATGATAAGAAATTTAAAGTATTTCAATCATTACGTATGGCACGCGCTGATGCAAAACTCGTTGGAATACGTGAAAAGAAGGCCAAACAAGCTGCCGAAGATGAAAAGAAACCGAAAAAAGCTGGTGAAGATGAAAAGAAATCGAAAAAAGAAAAGTAAAGCTTAATGTTCTGCGATTTTTATTCAAGAATGTTTCATTTCGTGCCGGTTTTGGGATGATAAATGGTTGTTTATCGTTGTTTTTGTTTATATAAACAAAATAAACAAAAAAGAACAACATAAGTTTTAAAAATAAACATCGGAGCTATTTTGCTATATCAGAGTGTTCAAGTGAAATAAAGTGCAAAAGATGTAAGAAGAAAAGAAAAAGGATTGTTTTGTGATGGTTTCACGACAAAAATAGACTTTTATACTATGATAAGAGTGTAAAATCTCTTTTTTTCTGGCACATGGTGTCTTGATTAATTGATGGAAAATTGATTTATTATGCAACAAGCATTTCGTAAAACGTTGATCGCTTTTCATTCTGAAAAATTTATTAAGTTTTGGATTTCTGAGCGGTTGAATTGACCGAAAATTTTAGCCGGAGATCCAGATAAATATATTGGAGTATAGGTCAATTTCCTTCGACAAATGTGGAGCCTTGTAACCTGTTTCTTATACTCCCATTAAGTTGCATTCATCAGATATAAACATCATGCTGGGTGAATGAAAAGAACGACGAAC